TGATGACGCCGTCCTCGGAGACGAAGCGCTGGGCTGGCGAGGTCAGGGATCGGTCTGCGAGGTTCTCTACCTGGAGCTCCATGCGCGATATGTTGCGGTTGCCGTACGGGGAGCCTCCTCTTTCGAGCAACAGCACGTTGGAGATCTGCGACAGAGTCGCGGCTAAAGGGCAGCCGGCGGTTCCCCCGCCGACGATGATGTAGTCATGGTACGACACACGTGGGGCTTGCGTTGCATGCTTCACGAATGTGTAGTTGGGGCCGCCTGTTAATTTAGAGGATAGAGACGGATCATATGGTCAGCACAAAGTGCAAGAGGTACACTCACAGTCCAACTCCAGCTAGACTGAAAGCTAGTACACACACACATATATATATATATATATATATAGAGAGAGAGAGAGAGAGAGAGAGAGACGGTTGTCTGCGTAGCAGAAGAAGCAATGGGAGCAAAGGAAGACAGCAGCTGAAGCGAGTAATCGCAGTGGTGCAGTCTCCATCTTTGGTTAGGAGCTATAGGAAGAGCTTTGGAGTCGGCGAAGGGTCGTATGTATTATATATAGTGTTCTCATGGGGACGATGGCGCCACGTCATGTTGAACACACTTGGGCAGCACAGGAAGATTTGAGGGACGCTCTACATACACGCGGGTTTTCTACACGGCCCTAAATCCGTTGCGATTCGCGTGGATGCTGGCCCCCACTTATCTCAAGGGATCCCCCTCCGCCGCGGGGTTGCGTCACGAGTAGAACACGCGCGTGCACTGAAGCTTTTGCTTGCCGCGCCTTGGATTTATTGATATGTCTTTCTTTTATTTTATATTATTATGATAATTCACCAACTGAAGTACTATTTCCCAATTGAGATGCATGCATCATAGTGACATCGACTCGTGCATCAAATCTCTGGTGGGGGTTCAACTACCTCCATTAATTTTTACGCGCCAACTGTCATCAGATGATCACATTAACAAGCCAGCGTTTCTTTCATCTCTCTCTCTCTCTCTCTCTCTCTCTCTATATATATATATAGAGAGAGAGAGAGAGAGAGAGAGAGTTGACGAAGGTGTACCAAGTCATTCATGGAATACCAAATTCAAAATAAAAATAAACGCAAGTGTCCAAGTTGGATGTTGCAAGGTATATCATCATGATTTGACTTTGACAAGTCTTGTGTGCACCATCTAAATTGTGTCAAACAATGTCCCGTGACTATCCTCCACGCATTGATTTGTAATAAATAAGGATTTTGATTTGGACATTAGTTGACCAAAACCTATATACCGATGGGTGTTGGTATTTTTGTTATTATATATTTTATGTGAAAAATATCAGTCACGCACCAATTCAATCACAAAGTTGACGTCCATGTCAACAGTAAGATGTGACACGTCCTTCCTGTTGACTCTTCTGATTTGGAAGATTGACTATTCAACCATTTGTTATGTCAAAAGAAAAAAAAAGACAAAGGTTGAGAAATATTTATGTTATATTTATTTACTGTCACATCCATTATTTCTTGTCAATCGGCTAAAAAAATATATTCTCTCGTTATAAGATTGGTATAACCATTTGTTATGCGAAAAGGAAGAAGATGTCAGGTTGAGAAAAATTGATGTTACAACGATTTATTTATTATCATGTTCATTATTTCTCGTCAATCGAGATTTTACACATGATTGGACTCTATTGCCACATTACCTACTGGAATATTATCTCTTTAAACTAATAATTATAAGATAGATTTAATTTAAAGTAATTATATATATACATATTTTTATTCTAAAATTATTGAATTTAACTTAGATCTTAGATTATTTATATATTTTTTATCAATAATTAAAAAATTATAACTAATTTGATCATATATATCTTTCGTTACATAAATTGATTGGAACGATATATAAATATTTTTTTAATCCTTCTATTGAAAGGAATACGGGATATGAGATAGATGACTTTCTAAATGAAAAGTTGTAGGAAGAGGTTTATGTAAAGAAGCATGGAGGATTCAAAATTAAATGGCTAGAAGATAAAGTATACAAATTGATGAAATATTATATGGTTTGAAACAAGTACTAACGGCATCATACAATAAAATTGATAAGTACTTTTTTAAGATAATTTTCAAAAAAGTTTAAGTGAGCCAACTTTACATATAAAAGCCTAAAGTATGAAAATTCTTATTATTTGTTTATATATGGATGATATGATTTATATAAAAAATTCATCATATATACTTGTTAAATTTAAGAAAAATATAATGTTATAATTTGAAATGATTAATATGAGACTTTTACATTATTTTCTAGGAATGAAAATCATACAATATGCAAATGAAATTTTTTTTCACCAAAAAAGTATACTAAAGATTTATTAAAAAAGGTTTCATATGATAACTTGTATGACAATGAATAGATGAATGAATACAGATGATAAACTTATGTTCGATGTTGAAAAAATAAATTAGATACAATATAAAAATTTAATTGAAAAGTTAATTTATCTTACATAGTCGGATATTATTTTATTTATAAAATTAAGAAATAGAAATAAAGTTTCGTTTAATATAAGATGCATACAAATCATCATCGAGTGTAAAGATTGTGGTAAGTGAATTAAGTATTATGGAACCAGTATGAGTAATGGGAATTCCTTTACCATCACCAATAATAATATCTTCATTTCCACCATAGTTGTTATGGATAGATAAGTTTTGAAGATCGGAGATGATGTGATGAGATGCGCCATAGTCCACAATCCAATTAGGTTGGCTCGTAATCGAAGTAGTCATAAGATTCACCCGAGGCCACCATGATGGAGCATGGAGTCTAGGTCGAGACTAATAGACTTTCGCGGAATGTCCAACTTTATAATATAATTGGCAAACGATTCTTTGTTAACTTATGAGATCAGAATGCTAGATCTGATGATAAATGAAGTTGCCACCTGATAGTTATGATTGAAATGTTGATGACATAGATAAGAGGGGGTTTGTTTGAGACCCATATGTTCAAGAGACCCAAACCTTTGTTGACGTATTTATTGTATTAGTTACTCTTCCTCCTATATTTTTGACTGACTTGAGTTGTGATGGTTGGTCCAGCAACTTATTCTCACGCTTTAAATATATCTCATAGTCTATCAGCTTGTCATAGAGTTCTTCGAATGATATTAGTAAGTCGTATGTTCGAATTATTGTTGCTAGTTCCTTATACTCATCTCCTAGACCATTCAGGGTATGAACTAGGACTTCTTCACCACTAAGCGAATGACCTATCAAAACCAAGTCATCGATGATAACTTTAATATGTTATAGATAATCAGCAAAAGTACTTCCCTTTTGTTTTATTTTTATTAGATTTGATAGAAGACCAAGCATGCAAGTACACAAGCGATTTGCCAATATGGTTTGCAACTTGTACCAAGCTTCTGTAGCAGTCATACAAGAAGATATCAGTGGGGCAATGGACCCAGCGATGAAGGCTTGAATAACTTGAAGGATGAAACAATCTTGACATAGCCATAGTTTGAGATGTTCTTCATTGCTGGAACTGAGAGAACCATCGACGTAGCCTAGTAAATTATATCAAAATAGAATATTAGAAAGCACATGTTGGATATAATATTTTATTTATATATGTTGAAAGAAAAGGTTTTTCTTTAACTGTCTAACAATTTTCTCGTACAGTTTTAAAAAAAAAAAAAAGTCTTATCTGCTATCAAATACTTCGTGATATATATTAGCGTGGCTATCACCTCATCAAGTTCCTTTCTTATTCTAAACCACACACATTCACGTGATAAGAAGCATGGCCAATTCATTAATGCAAGACAGGAGTGTCTGACTAGGACAGAAGTAGGAGACCAAATACAGGCAAGTCGTCTCTTCCAAAAATTATCTCGTGCTCTCCTACACACTTGTCTCGCGAGTCCAATAAGTGAAGGCCGGCATTCCACATCAGACGAGAAGAAAATTCTGGATACAGAATCCTGTCCTATGTATGTTGTAATTTAGATTGGTGGATGGCATTGAAATATAAAATACTTGAATAATAATCATCCAAGAGAGGCTCGTCATAGAATTTGAAGTATCATCGTTCGGGAAGAAGCACTAAAGACTTCACAAGATGGTTCTGCAAGAAAAAACTTAATGTTATCTCCCTTGTGCACTTGTAAGGGACAAAAGGAGGGATTCCTTATTAATTCAACCACCTCTATTAATTTGCACGAACCAACTGCAATGCGATCTCTGCAATTAAGTGTAGAAGATATTTCGGGCAGTGAGCTCACTGTCAACAGACAAAATATACGGCTCCATATTGATCGAAGACTAAATCGAATTGACGGGATAGCGAGTTGGATGGACAGCGCTGCACAAGAGAAATGCCTCTTGGTTCTCCATGGAACCGCCGAACTGAAGTTAACTACGTACGCCATGATGTGGCCATGACATGCAACAGGTCTAACACGAGGAAGGGTGTTGATGTAGTTCACGTTCATGCCTGTCGTCCAGTCGATCGAGAGACAGAATTGCATCTCACGACTGGCTCAGTTTGGTTGTCCAGTAAGTCTAACAGCAAAGGAAGGTCCGACAGAGCTTTCAGAACCACAGGTCGTTCATTGATGACGAGGAAAGCCGAATACAAGTCAATGCATTTGGTACGTAAATGATGGGATCCACACACACCTCCAACTTGTGACGACCGTCTTCATGCTCGGACTTACCAGGTGGAATGAATCCATTGAGTTCTGGAGGTCTCTTGGAAAGCAACAGATCCCAATTACCTAAAGAGTTCATGATTCCTATAGATACTGTGACTTGGAAGGATTAGTTATTACCTGACTCTTCCTATGCTTATGATGAATATGAGGTTAATCTTCTCGCCCATCTCTATCCTGATATCACATATGAATATCTTCAGACACTTGTGCATGGAAAGTTGGTGGAGAGAGAGAAAGAGAGAGAGAGAGTACTCTACTCCTTGTTCTTATCAGTTCGTCCCAAAAACAGTAGAGCAATCACAGATTCAAATACCTTAATATAAAGAAGTCCATACAAAAGCTCCTCATTTTAACTAAAGATTGATGGAAAAAAGAAAGAGATTTATGGACACTGCATCAAATTCGAATGGCCATCCATATCTTTCCATATTTGAATCTACAAGTTTAAACCCTGGTGCTACAGACCTTTCCCTGCCTAAAACCCTTGGGACATATCAACACAGAGTCGATGCAAAGGCCACCTTTTGTATGCGTGCAATCGATTTGTGTCATCGAGAACTTGAGTTTAGTTGCAACATTGCATCTGTCTGCCACAAAGTCTCCTGCATAGTAAAGGATCCAGCTCCCAGGATCGCCTAAATAGCACTGAGATAGAGTCTGCTGACTGTTCGATGTCGATAGCTGGAATCGCACCGGTTTCTTGTCCCAGCCATGAATGTGCTCGGAGCTACAAATCCGACGACCAAAACGCTTGGAAGCTCGACCCAGGTGGAGCCGAAAGAAGAGGCTGTAGGTACCGGCCGGGAAGCAGAAATCAATTTCCCCATCCACCTCAAACCACCAAATTTGCTTAAGGTATGCAATCATGTGGAACCTGCAAATGAAAACATTCGATACGATGGTCACTTCCTTTTTCTTTTCTTTAGCTCAATGTGTTTACAATTGTATTATTATTTGATTTCTAAAGATTAGAAATGTTTCCGAATGCAAGTCCCTACAAAGATTGAAACTACGTTTAGACATTTGAACACCAACCAATATCAGAAATCAAAAACTTGTTGAGCTATAGATAATCAAGTATTGATTCAAAACTAGTAAACCGATTCCAAATAGCTACAGCACATACCTGACTAGAAATGAACTACATGTATCACAGAGCTGAGAAGGACTTCGACTATGTCAATTCAATGTGAAGATGGGATATGTGCCACCTATCGGACACTACTCTTCTCGGTGGGAGGGTGGTGACCTCTAAGAGAAGATGAGAAGGGTGAAGAGGTTACTATCAACTAATATTTACATGTTATGATGCCACATCTTAATCTGTCTATGCTTAACATCAAAAGTATGATAAAAATGGATGCCAACACTCCAACTAACACTGCTCTCCTAACCCTCTATTGCTTGGCCAAACAGTCCTTAAACCTTCGATTTACCTCTTCATCTACAGAGAGTCATTAAATTCACAGTTCTTTCTCTAAAAATAGTAAATAGTAGATGACTGCATGACACAGTCGAGAGGGACCTTGATCATGTCAAATCAGTGTTGACACGTTAACAACTTACAATTTATGACATATCTACATCGTTAGAGAATTATTAAGTTTAATAGTTACATCGTGACAAGGACTGATCAGGCAATCAAAAACTTACTGCAAAATAGTCGGGATTCAACAGAACAAAAAACCATTCAGCTGATCATCTTACTCGAGAATTAAATGATGCAGCAGTATGTCATGAGAGGACTTAGCATTATGAAAAGGTAGACGCCAAATTTCAAATATCTCTTAAGTCAAAGACAACAATACCCACTCCATTTTTCAGGATAGCTAGAGTGTGGTTGCAAAAATGCAGTCTAAAAACTGCTTTAGGATCTGATTTCATGGAAGCTATTTGCAATGGCCTCAAAACTCCTCTCTTTTTCTTTTCAGCAAAAAGGTAATTGTCTGCAGCAGATTTCTGTATCGATGAAGAACCTTCCTATCACTGTCTCACTTCATTAAGAACAAAATCAAGAAACAAGCCCGATAAAAAGCTCAAATGAACGTGTAAACAAGAAAAAGGAAGGAGCTGTGCAGTGAAGATACAAAACACTTACAAGCAAATAAACATATAAAATTTAAAGGATTAGTCAAAGAGGGAAATGTTACAAACAAGTTGGGCCTCACTCCCACAATTATAAGTGCCTCATGACCATGAAAAATGTGGCTCAATGTGAAAAATAGAATCCGATAGGTTAATTAGCTTATCTACTTTGTTGAACTTAAACCATCGACCAAAATGCTCAGGTTAAAATTAATAGTAATGCACCCATAAGACCCTTTTAAGTATATCATAGTCTTGTCCACTTCCGATATAAGACTAATCGAGATGTTACAAATGCTATACCTCCAAAGCCAATCAACAAGGCCTATTATTCCTTTGCAAGAAACCACTGCCATGTTCAAAGAGTCCTAAAGAACCTGTATCAACAGATTTAAATTCTACAGAACCTTGCTAAGATTGCTTAAGACACAAAAACTTCAAGAGCAAAAACAAAAATCCACAACAAGCATCTTGGCACATTACAGTGATATCAAATGACAACTGCAGACCTATGTACAATTCTTAACATTTAAGAGATCTAGAACATTTGCCTGTCAATGATTTAAAGACCATTAATTTGTGCCACCCAAATTGTGGGTCTTTTGGATGAGAAAAATCACACATGTTAAGCAAAGTTAAAAAAACTCTATTCTGCAGTAAAGGCCAACACACCAAAAATACTACTGTAAGTATATAGACAAGATCTAATACCTAGATTCTTCGGTGGGAAGGTATTTCCAGTATCTCCTGTCATCGATTCCGGTGATCAGCAATGCCTTTGAGGAAATGGACAAGCAAATTCCACCGCTGCTCTTCTCCAGCCAGAATTCCTAATTCACCACGTTTCGAAGCTAACGTTAGATGAATTCCCAAGAAAGCACCATAGCTCGTTCCACTACCAATTATCTCCATTTCTTTCCAGAGTTAAACAGGATAACCCCACCCGAATCCTAAAGATTATTTCATCTCGATCTTAAAATTGAATGATCTGAGCACGAAAATGCCACCTTTAACATCAAAATCACCGATTCTTACTATCCTGTTCATATAATTCGAAGAAAAGGAGATACCTTGGTGCCCCCATCGAAGGGGTTCGGCCGGCACAACCGCGCGTAGATCTCCTTCTTGCAAAGACTCGTCTTCTTGCACGGGCTCTTCTCATCCGAGGCCAATTCCATCAAATGCCCGTAGTTCTTGGGTAGCTTCGTCTCCCACACGAAGTCCGCCGACGCCGCCCCTCGGAACGCTCGGCTGAGCCGCGCGGCGCGGCATATCTCCAGCGGGTCGAGGTGAAGCATCACCTCCGCGACGCAGTTCTCCGGCAGGTACCCGAGCCCCGTGTCGTGGCCTTCCGCCTCCCTCTCCGGGCCCATGATGCTCGAAATCCACGAACCCATCAGCCAGATCAGTGGTACCACCTCCAAGAGGGAAGAAACACACGAAGCAAACAAATCCGACCAATTCCCAACCCCAATGGCAGCGGTCCGAGCAGGGCGCGGCGCTCACGGAAAGACGAGGGCTTTCGAGGACAAGAGCAAGGAGGCAGGAACCGGAATCGATTCGCGATCTATCAGTCGCCGTTGCTTTGTTGTTCGATTCGATGCTTTGCTTTGAAACGCCGAAAGAAGCCGAAGGGATTTAGGCCACGAGCTGTGACTGTCAGAAGAATAGCGCATCTATCTATTGAAATGCTGGCCGGCAGCCCGAACACAAAGTGGCGGGGCCGCCCCTTCTCTAGTCTAGTGTGAAAGCCAGGATAAAGACGACAGAATCCACGGCATGCCACGTCGGATTCGGAAGCCGGGAGGAAGAAGACGGAATCCACGGCGTGCCGTGGCGGCGGTGCGACGTGTACTGGCGAAAGTACTGTTTACAGGTTGGCAAAAGACTGATGTTTTGCTTACTTACCAATAATCCACGACTCACTCAGCCACTCGAGCTGTCATTGGACATCGTACGTAGACCCGGAGATCACACGTCAAGTGGGGGAAAGAGCCAGCGACAAACAGCCAGGAAACTGTGTTCGTTCGACAGCAATCTGTGTCTTCTTCCCCGGCCATTGTTTGCTTCCGACGGATTGCTGCGCCACGTGTAGACCACAGGGTAGGGTAATCAGATGCCGTTGTACCAAAGATCACACGAGCACAAGGAACAGCACTTGCAAGCCAATGCATCACCCATGTCCGAGGGAAGACGGTAGGGTTCTTCATACTTGGATAACAAGCCATGAACAAGGATTAAAAGTGCAGACAAGTAGGGAAAAAGGATTAAATATTTCATTTGGCAGCATACTTTTGCCCACAAAGCCATGCATCAGTTTCTCCTCTCCAGGCCTTTGGTGTTCCCCTGTTTAGTTTGTTTAAGGTCATAGTTTTCTCTTCTCTGATATGTCAACAGAGTTTATTTCGAAGACATGTGGTGGCTGATCACATGGACCAATCAATCATCAATGACACTGACAGCAAAACTAGGAGTTGCAACAATGGATCTCCTTCGTACTTTTCTCAATTCTAAAAGACGAATGCTTCCATATTTTAAGGCCGAAGTTTTACAGTATATGTACAAGAAACATAGATTCGTCCTTTCGTTAGTTAATAGAATAAAATTTTTAGGGAAGATGGTTATTAATCATTAGGTGAAGAGAGAAGCCACGAGTTAGTTCATTGTACTGCAAGCTTCATTCCACTGCAGCCCAACAGTATCAATGATATCCTCTTGTAGATTTGCTGCTTCCTTTTGAGGACCAGACCCATCGAAACGATGATCTATTTCTTAAATTATGTGGTCCAATAATATGGAATAAAATATATTATAAATTTAATTAGCTTTTGATCAAAATTATTGGTCGATATAATAGAGATTCTAATATTGGGAGATCGTTTTGATTTGATGGGAGAGACACTTTGTTAACCCTATCTAAACCCTTTGCTCTCCATGGAGCTAGAAGAAGAAAATAAATGCTATTAATGCGTTCGATGGATTAATATTAAGAAATATGACGCCAACGGTTCATCAAGGAAGATGTGTTTCATATGAAGAAGTGTTTTTGTGTGTTTGTCTCTCCTCCCCCTCTTTTTGATGAATGAGAGGGTATTTATAGGGAAGCTTACTACTTCCTGAACTGCCCGCTTGCAGGGGGCAGGTTGGTAGCGTCTGACTTTGTGTTGGTGTGACGTGAAGAATTGAGCTTTGGCAGAATGTTAATGCTCCTCGGTCGGCGTTCCGATCTACATTGACCAGGTGCTGTTGCGCGAGGCGTCATCTAACGTCAGCCGAGTCTTATCATAATTACTATCCTCATCAAGCTTCGATAGAAATCTGAAAACAACCTGGTCGAATGTTTCTGTACCACCACCAGAGGTGTCATGGACGAGAGAAGCTGCTAGGTTGAAGCCGGTAAAGGACTCGATGTAGTTGCCTGAGTGAGTGATTCCGGCGACTTGGATGGAGCTGATCTCGACTGGCTGCGGCGAAGGGACGGTGATGATGTTCATGGGGTTGTCCGACATGCCTCGCCCGATCATCGGCTGGTCCAATACCACCTCGATGCCAAAAGATCTGAGGTGCTCAGAGGGACCGACGCCGCTCAACATGAGTAGCTGCGGGCTTCCGAGGGCTCCCGCTGACAAGATAATTTCGCCGGCCGAGCCATCCTTCACGTAGGCCTCGTGCATGTCGCCCATCTCGTCCGAATACAGCACGCCATATGCCTGTGGCGTCTGTCTTCCTGCACCGGTATCAATTGTAGGCAAATGTTACGCTGCTGGTTCTGCTACGTGCATCTAATGATAGATATATGTGTTAAGAGTGCGCGCCCGATAGATATATGTGTTAAGAGTGCGCGCCCGACCCACCTCTCTTCCTGAACAAAATTCTCTGAACAATGGCGCGCAAGAGCACGGTTAGTGATGAGGGTAATAATTGCAATAGGACTTACGTGACATCAGCTGCACCACGTGATACATCACGCCTCTGTTGAATTGATGAGGCACCCGGTCAACGCGGACCGGAACGCCTACCAAGGCACATTAACACCCTGCTCAGGCTCGATCCCCCACGCCACGCTAACGGCAATGTCAGACGCTACCAGAAGTACGATCATGCTCCCTGCGGGCAGGCACATCATACAACGGTGATTCTTACTATAAAAACCCTCGCACTCCGAAGGAAAAGAGGAGACTTAACTAAAGAAACCCCCGCAACTACCCTCTAACTTGATCGTCGGAGGGGACAGGTCGAGCGCCTCGACCCGACCTTTATGCAAGTGCGAAGCCGAAGGTCCCCGCTGAACGTGCAGGCGGGGAGTTCTTGCCCGGAGGGAATAGCGACCATGTCCCAATCGGAACACCGTGATCGGCCACCTCAGCCGTTGGGAGGAGCGTCCCAGGAAGATCCCCGTCATCCGGACCCGAACCAAGCCGCGTCGACCCCGAGGCCACGACTTAAAGTTGTTTACACTAACATTTTTGGCGCTAGAAGGAGGGTTGCGAAGCCGAAGGTCCCTGCTGAATGTGCAGGCGAGGAGTTCTTGCTCGGAGGGAATAGCGACCCCGTCCCAATCGGAACACCGTGATCGGCCACCTCAGCCGTCGGGAGGAGCGTCCCAGGAAGATCCCCGTCATCCAGACCCGAACCAAGCCACGTTGGCCCCGAGGCCATGGCTTAAAGTTGTTTACACTAATATTTTTGGCGCTAGAAGGAGGGGCTGGAATGTCGGGGGATCACCCGATTGGCTCAGATGAACCTGCGGCTGAGAGGTCACATCCGATTGGAGCTTCAGGGGAACATCCCCCGCACGGAGATCTTCATGACGAACACCCCACCACGACCTCAGAGCGCTATTGGCGGATATTCAATGACCCGGGCTTGTCGCCGCCCGACGGCACCCCCGTCGACCCGTCGCTCGTGTCATCCGAGGCCTTTCACGACCTCACCCATCAAGTCCGAACTCTGACCGATATGGTGCAAACCATTATTCCACTTGTCTCTTGTCCGCTGCACCCACCGGCCGTCCAACCACTGCGGCAACAGGAGCCACTCGTTCAAGCCCGCACACCACCTCGGGAGCTTCCCGCTTCGCCTCGGGTCCGATCAGCCCCACTCGGGGATCGAGTGACGGTGAACCCGAGGGGCCACCCGGAACCCGAGGCACTATCTTCGGATTCTACGGACTCCCTTTGAGCCTAGTTGCGCTTCGTCAGCCAGCGACCGGACGAGGTGCAGAAGGAGGTTCGCAGGTCGAAGGGAGAGCCGGGGGAGGACGCACACCAGGGGTCTCCGTTCACACCCGAGATACAGGATCAGACAGTCCCCCCGAAATTCCGGCTCCCCTCCCTGGACGCTTACGACGGCTCCACCGACCCAGCGGACCATGTAGCTACTTTTCGCGCCCAGATGGTGCTATACGGAACCTCTGATGCTCTGATGTGCAGAGCGTTTCCCACCACTCTGAGAGGGCCGGCCCACGCGTGGTACAACGGCTTGAAGATCGGAACGATCGCTTCCTTCGACCAGCTCATCAGGGACTTCGAGCTCCACTTCTTGGCCTATGCACGGGCGAAACCTTCTGTGGCACTTCTCCTCGGACTCAACCAGAGGGAGGATGAGCCCCTCTCCCATTTTATGAATCGTTTTGCAACGCAGATCCGGGGATTACCGGGTGCTCATCCTTCTCTATTGATGCAGGCGTTTATGATAGGCCTTCGTCCTTCTAGGTTCTTATGGTCCCTCGTGGAGCGACCCCCCAACACGGTACCCGAGATGCTCCAACGCACGAACCAGTTCATCGCAGCCGAGGCCTGGATGGCCGGGAAGCAGGAAGAGCACAAGAGGGGCAGGCCGGAGCCGGCTCGGGGACAACAGTCTGCCACGCCGAGGCGCAGGCTGGACCGACCTGACCCGCCCGTGCCAAGGTCTCCGATACCCTCTTTGGGTGCATCCCTAACGGAAATATTTCTCCAAATAAGGGAAAAAGGGTTGCTCAGGGCCCCCGTCCCGATGAAGAGCCTGCGGGAACTCACTAACCAGTCCAAGTATTGTCGCTTCCGTCGGCAAAGCGGACACGATACTGAAGAGTGTCGCGAGCTGAAGCGGCAAATCGAGGAGCTCGTCCGTAGAGGACACCTCAGTCGGTACGTCCGATAGAATAAGAGATTGTCGCCCTATCCGAAGGGTCCCGTTGAGCGCCACATCAACGTCATCACGGGCGGCCCGGCGTTCGATGGGATCAGTATGTCCAGAAGGAAGGCATACGCCCGCTCAGCTAGGGATGACGCGGCCCCGACCCTGAGGTCGCGTTCCCCCCCCTAGGGCGCTGAGCGACCAGAGCACGACGATGCGCTCGTGATAATGGCTCGAATCGCCAACGCCCAGGTGAGGAGAATCATGATCGACACGGGGAGCTCAGCCGACGTGCTATATCTTGACGCTTTCCAAAAACTAGGGTTAGCCAAAGAGCCCTTGGAGCCTATCTGCTCGACGCTCACAGGGTTCACCGGCGACTCGATCTTGCCATTGGGAACCATCACCTTGCCCCTGACTCTAGGAGCTCCGCCCAGAACAAAGACGGTGATGTCCACCTTCCTAGTGGTGGATCTCCCTACAGCGTACAATGCCATCCTCGGTCGCCCCACCCTCAACAAGATTAGGACCGTAGTCTCCACCTACCACCAGACGGTGAAATTCCCGACCCACACGGGGACTGGGGAGGTCTGGGGGAGCCCTTGGGAGTCCAGATAGTGCTACTTGATGGCGGTCTCTCTTCACAAAAGGGCGAAGACCGACCGA